GTTAGGTGCTTAGGATGGTATTTGACCCAGAGAGATTTCAGTAAATGGTGGTGGTAGAGGAGTGCTGGTAGGAGAAGTAGTTATATAACACTTGATGGTGCACATCAGCATCCATTTCCATTGAATGGATGGATTCCTTAAATGCTACCATGTTATGGAATTATAAAGGGTCTATCTTTGGCAGGTTGAAAGAGCAAACAATAGTTGGTAACACTCATTTTTGGATTTGTGAAACTAGGTAATTTATTTTTAAAATTTTTTTAAAATCCTTTATATATTTATTTATTTTTACTTTTTGGGTCACACCCGGCGATGCACAGAGGTTACTCCTTGCTCTGTACTCAGGAATTACTCCTGCCGGTACTCAGGGGACCATATGGGATGCTGGGAATTGAACCCGGGTTGGCCGTGTGCAAGGCAAACGCCCTACCTGCTGTGCTCTCGCTCCAGCCCCATAGGTAATTTATTTTTAATGAGGCAAATTAATTTACAAGAGTGTAAATATTTATATTGAAGAGTAAAATCTTAGCACACCATGCCTATTACCTAAGTCCTTAATATACCCCAAATATAAGCCCCCAAATATATTTCTTCAGTCTGTCATCCTTCTTCATAATAATTCTCCTCAGTAGTGTGGTCAGAGTCTATGGGTTTGTTTTCATTGACATCTATTCTTTTGCTTTGTTTATATACCACATATATATATATATACAATTATCTGATACTTTTTTTCCTCCTCCTGACTTATTTTCCTTAGTGTCACCCCCTCTAGTTCTGCCTGTGTTTGTAACCATCTTTTTTACAGCTGCATAGTATTCTATCAGCTATATATGCCACAACTTCTTTACCTACTTCTCTGGTTGTAGGACATTTTGTTGTTTCTAGAGTTTGACTCCCTGATATCTAAGAACACAGGATTTGAATGGATAGAAGTTACACACTTTTTTTTTGGATATCTAGGAGTGGAATTTCTGGGTGATAGGTAGTACCATTATTAATTTCTTCATTAATCCTTAGGAAGAATTTCTGCATTCTACTCTGTTCAGGATATGCTGCACTAGTTACTTACACCAGTGACTGTTGGTTGGGTGCTTTGTTTGTAGTCTTGTTGCTTTTTAACATCATTGAAAAAAAGGTTATTTGCCCTCAAGACAACATCACCATGTTGCTCCTCTAGGAAGAAAAGCCAACCTTTCAGTATATTCCCCATCATATCTGGGGCAGTTAAATGTCTTCAGTGCCTCTGTGACTGGTCAAACAGGGTGTAGTTTCAGTGAGTGGCTTCACATAACTATTCTGCCTCACTACTCTCTCAGTGTCTCCACACAGATGCTCAGACATGGAAGATAGGGTAGGAGCACATGCCAAATTAAGTGGTTCTCAAATGGGGGCAATTTTGAGCTCCCCTTTCAATGACAGTGGCAATATTTGAAGACATTTTTGGTTGTCACAACGATTTCTACTTCATTTGAAAGTCCAGTGTTTCTTAAGCGTTTTCTCACTATGGACCCCTTTCAACCTTGTTTCCTTCCTGTGGCTCCCCACTGTCCTACCCTCCCCCGTAGTCTCCTGATATGGCCCTCATTGACATGATTTTTGCATGTGGCCCCTTTGGAATATCCTGAGGGTGCACGGGGTCATCAGGGGTGAGGGTGAGGTGGGGCATGTACCTCCTGGTTGAGAAATGGTGACCCAGTATTTAGAAACCAGGAGTGCTACTAACTACCCTATACAGAGGGACCTCCCTCAACAACAAATCGGTAGTGTTCAAGGTAAGAAACCATGAGTTGGGGCTGGAGCAATAGCACAGTGGGTAGGGCATTTGTCTTGCACGTGGTCGACCCCGGTTCGAATCCCAGCATCCCGTATGGTCCCCTGAGCACCGCCAGGAGTAATACCTGAGTGCAGAGCCAGGCTAACCCCTGAGCATCACTGGGTGTGACCCAAAAAGCAAAAACAGAAACCATGAATTGACCCAGACTGATGAGCTGGGACTTCTGTGTCTAGCTAACAGCAGCTGCTGTTATTGCTAATTTTTCACATGTTGTCTCCCTATTGGCTATGCAGGGTCCAGTTAAGGAGACAGGAGATGGGGGAGAGGGGTGCCTTTATGTGAGGATGGTTTTGAATTGCTGAATCCAGCCTCTTCTTAGTGATACTGTTATCAGCTTCTGTGAAGCAGCCTCTGGCAGTCTTTAGGAGTCTGGAGAACTGGAAGATGCCTTAGATCCAGCTTCAGAGCAGAGCTGGTGACTGGCTTCTACCGAGCTTGCGGCTAATGAGGAGCAGGGATGGACTGTGAGTCATCACTGACTGTGAGCTGGCAGCCGGGAGCTGGGGGGAACTCATGGTACTTTGGATAAGGTAGTGGAGCCAAAGGGGATTTTGTCAGTGGGTCTGAGAGCATTTTCCAGAGGAAGGCTTTATTAGTGATTTGGCTTTGGAATGTTTGTTATGGACCAGAGCTGCTGCTGCTGCTTTTCATGTACTTATTTTTTGGTTTGGTGTCCACACCTGGTGGTGCTTAGGACTCATTCCTGGCTCTGTACTCAGAGATCACTCTTGGTGGGCTCCGGGGACCATATGGGATGACAGGGATTGACACCGTGTTGGCTGTATGCAAGGCAGATGCCCTACCTGCTGAACCACTGCTTTCCCCCGCTTTATAACTTCTTTTTCAAGAAGGCAGCTGAGATGGAGAGCAAAGAGGACTCCAGCCTCGGAAGCTTGACTGCAGCAGACAACTATGATTCTGTAGAAAGAAGCCACCGAGCCGCACACTTGGATACTTTTGTCTACCTGGGCTTTAGACTTCTGGTATCAGGGAGCAGGGGAGTGAGTAGGCAGCCCAGAGTCAACTCCCTATTGTTGTGACGTATTATTTCTCTGTTCTCACTCTTCCCTCCTTCATGCTGGGACCCTTGGGCTTCTCTGTAAAACAAGGCCATACCTATGTTATGGAGAATGTGACAATACGACAGGATTTTTTACATATATGCGTATCATATAATAGGAATTCATACAAGTGCTAGTGGCCTTCTGCGCTCTTCTTATAGGAATAAAATATAAGCTTTATGAGCAGGAGAGATAGTATAGTGGGTAGGGTGCTTGCCTGTCAGTTGGCCAACCTGAGTTCTATCCCTGGCACCACATACAGTTCCTCTAACCCTGTCAGGAGCAGTCCCCGAGCACAGAGCTGGGAGTGAAGCATGTGGTATCTTCCGCCCGCCCCCCTCCACACACATTGTAGCACTGTCCTCTCATTGTTCATTGATTTGCTTGAGCGGGCACCAGTAACGTCTCCATTGTAAGACTTGTTGTTACTGTTCTTGGCATATCAAATACGTCACGTATAGCTTGCCAGGCTTTGCCATAATGGCGGGATATTCTCAGTAGCTTGCCGGGCTCTCCAAGAAGGGCGGAGGATTCAAACCCGGATTGTCAGCATGCAAACCAAACACCCTACCAGCCGTGCTATCGCTCAGCCTGCACTGCACCCCCAACACTTAATTAAAATGTTAACATAGGCCTCATCAGATATTTGTTAGAATGAATGAACAAACTGTTATAGGTTTTCATGTAGTGAATTAACTGGAAGTTCAAGGCAGGAGAAATGGTGGGAAGGGTGTGATTATGCCAAGCACATGGAACTAGAATTTCAGGAGAAAGATATGGGTTTGTTTCAGCTTAGAGTCTTAGTAACTCCAGCAATGCTATCCTAAACCCAGAAATTCCCATGCTCAGTACATGTGTCATATCTGTGTCTCTGTCCCGAAGAGGTTCTGTCTTGGCCTGGCATGATAGGGTCACTGAAGTGCCACCTAGCTGAGGCTGGTGGCTGTGCTCTAGGTCTGATGTGTGTTTCTTTTGTGCCACGTCAGAGTGCTTGCTCAGAGCAAGTTCCCTGTTTCCAGTAGCGTGGAAGGTGGCAGCCGCTTCCCTTTGTCTTGGCTCAGGATTTTTCTTGATCTTGCCACCCATGCTGTGCACTTTTTCCTCTTACCCTCTCCCTGGGGAGCCTGGACTTTAGCCACAGGACTCTCTGTCCTGTTGTTCTTCTGCCTTTCCCATGTGTACACGTCGGCGCATCTTTCTTTGATTATGAGTTTCCAGAGGAGAGGAGCTAAATTCATCTCTTTTCCTATGCGTGAATGCCTGGGGAATGAACTCAGTGAATGGCATGTGTGTTTGAGGGTAATGTGGCTGTATTTCGTTCAGAGAAAGTCCGCTACTCTGGAACAGTTGAGTACATAAGAAAGGGAATCAGCTGCCAAGGGTTAGCATCAAAAGAGTAAAATCCCAGATTCTAGAACAACGGCAGGCACATAGTAGTTGTTCACTAAGTAGTTCTTGATTGAATAAATCCGTTCTCTGTTTTAAGTATTTTTACTCATCTGATAATACGTCACCCTGCATTACACAGCATTTCTGGAAATCTGGAACTGTAGCTTTCATTAAGTATTCCCATATGCATCCACCAGAAATAAGACTTCACACAACAAATGGGACATATTAGAGTACACAACACTAGAAATAACACCGAACTTTATCCTGGAGTTATTTCAGGACCTCACAGCAGGTTGGGGCTCTCATTCTATCTATCACTAACCATTATGCTTTAAACTGGGGTGGGGGGCGGTAAAGGGAGGTGGGGTTTAATAATTTTAATTTGGTAAAATGCTGTCAAATAACAAGGCATTTTTCTCTGTCAGTTTTGTAGCTGGAAATGATTTTTCTCTTCATTGCCATTGCTAGATTAGATACATCATTACAAAACAGACTGATTTGTTTGCACTCTCTGGGTTTTTGAAGATAGCCTCTGTCATCTTTAAGATACTGTTAGGACAGGTCATTAATCAGCCTAGATCTTACAAGGCTTTATGGGGAGAGAGAGAGAGAGAGAGAGAGAGAGAGAGAGAGAGAGAGAGAGAGAGAGAGAGAACTAGACAAATATGCAGGCGCTGAAGAATATTTAAACTCTGTGTTATTTTCTTTTATAGATCTGAAGAAAACTCTTGCTGTGTTGTTGGATAACATCTTGCAACGCATTGGCAAGTTGGAGTCGAAGGTGGACAATCTGGTCATCAATGGCACAGGAACAAACGCAACCAACTCTACCACAGCTGTTCCCAGCTTGGTGGCACTTGAGAAAATTAATGTGGCAGGTAAGAATGGCAGTTCTCCGTCCTGCCATGATGTCAAGCCCTGCCTTGAAGTAGGAAATAATCAAGGAGCTCAATACTTCTTTTGGACATAAGGCAAATCCCATAAACTTGGTCTGGCTCCTGTAAGTCGAAATTTATTTTTGAATCACACATTTAAAGTCTCATCAGGACATGTACTATCTGGTGGTTTCTGTGACATATTGCACATAACGAGCTCCTGGAATTCGCTGTTAATGAGGAGATACACAGCGTGGGTCAGTGAAATATAGAGGTTTGCTGGGAGGCTCCTGTCAGTTTGAGCTCCTCCCTCCTCGCCATTTCCATCAATTTCACAAGTCTGTTAACATATGAGCGCGTCTCTCCTCCCTGTTGTTAAAGAAGAAAAATGTGCAGATCTAGGGAAATAAAAATTCTGAGAATGGCATTTAGGAAAGAAACAGCCTATGTTTGATCTTGACCTGATTCTGTAGCCACTCAAACTGACAACCTGCTGCTCCCATTGGGATGCATGTGTCTGACCCTTTCTTGAAACAGAAGGAAAGGCATAGGGATTAAAAACAAAGCCCAAATCTCATACAGCATATGTTGTCCACAACTCACTTGGACCTCGGGCTGGCCTCTGTGTCTGTGTGGTTGAGCCGGAGCTTCCTGTTATTAGAGTGACCACTCTTGTTTCCTATGGACCCAGGACAAAGCAAAGAATTGGAGGTTTAGGATTAGGAGTTTGGGCGAACAGTGATGAAGGAAAAGAAGTGTCTATGTTTCCCATCTCTGGCAGTCAAACTTAATGGATAAAATGAGTAGCTGGGCTATTTTTGGAATGTTCTTTTTCTGCAGGGTGGGCAGGGGGGATGTTGGGGAGGAGAATGAGTTTAAGGATTTGGGTTCAATAACCCCTGGCAGTGCTCAGGAGTTATTCCCAGCAGTGCTCATGGATCATCTGGTGACAGAGATCAAAGTTGGGCCTTCCATAAGCAAAGCTTGCATTCTGTGAGCTATCTCCCCAGCCCTTCACAATTTTAAGCATCAAGTTAGATACACTTTTAAGCTTGTTTCTCTTTACCTCTTTCTTATAAAAATTCACGGATTTAAAGGGAGAAATTCTTTTCTGTTCCGTCCTCCCAGTGTCAAAACATTTAATTGTTTCACATTATGTGAGCTGCAGTATTACCATATGTTCTTTGCCCTTTAACAAAATTGCAAAATATATTTCTAATAATTCAAAGTATCCAGCCAAACAAAGGTATTAAAAATAACTTTTAATTACAACACAGAGGCAGTGTCATCTAGGCCATAAATCCTGTCTTCCCTGCAGTTTCCAACAGCTTCTGTAATTAGACAAGAAAACCTCCCACTGTGTTGAGCTGCTTTTTAATAAATGGAACCCATGCCTCTCCAGTCTTCATTCCTCCAAGCCCAGTTGGAAATGGCTATGGCAAAGGTCCTGTCCGGTTTTGTTTTGCAGATTGCAGCTTTGGGTGGGGAATCACTGCCTACTACTGGTTCCATCCTGTAGGACTCCTGGTGGCCCCCTGCTATTATTCCCTCCCGTGAGAGAGGTTTCATGCCTCTGGATGCCCAATTTTTGTATCAGGTTTCCAGGGAAAGATTTCCTTGCCTAGACACCAAATTTCATGCTCCAAGATGGCTAGTAGACCTCCAGGAATTAAATAGGAGGGAGTTACTGGTTATTTCTTTCAGATGATATCCCACTCAGGTGTTGATACTAGTTTACTAGTTAACTGCTTAGCTGTGTAAACAGTTAACTGAGTTAACAGTTATCTGTTGAACACTGTCTCTGTTAACTGAGAGTAACTATCCTTTATATGTGCCTACAGTACTGTGATTTTTTTTTCTGAAGGGAACTCCTAATCAATCTGAAGGGACCCTTGGAGTCCCCTCCTTCTCATATTCAAGAATCTTATCAGCAATCCTCTGTGAAAGCCCCAGGATGTGGTACTACTCCGACCCTGTGATGGTAGGGCCACCAAGGCTATCTCAGCAGTGTTTGAGGGGCAGGACAATACATGGGTGTATGTTCAGAAGGCCCATGTGGTTCTGAGAATTGAACCCAGATGCCTTGCCTAACCGCTGTGTTACCTTCCCTGGCTGTACTATTTTTAATAATATTTAAAGGTCTAAAGCTTTTTATTTTAAATTTTGGGAAACAGGAGCAAAATTTTTTTGTTGTCATTTTTGGGCTATACCCTAGCAGTACTCAGGACTTACTCCTGCTCAGTACTCAGTAATCACTCCTGGCAGGACTTGGGGGAGCATCTGAAATGATGGAGATTGACTCAAGTCAGCACATGAAAGAAAAGTGCCTTATCTTCTATATTTTTACTTTGGTTCCTAGAATTATGCTTTTAATGGTTAACTTCATACTTTGCCTTATTTAATTTTATCTAGTAATCATCAATTGTAAAGTTATTTGTAATAACTTAAGTATTGACTGGGGCTGGAGCAATAGCATAGCCGGTAGGGCGTTTGCCTAGCACGAGGTGGATCAGGTTCAATTCCCAGCATCCCATATGGTCCCCGAAGCACCGCCCAGAGTAATTCCTGAGTGTAGATTCAGGAGTAACCACTGTGCATCGCTGGGTGTGACCCAAAAAGCGAAAGCAAAAAAAAAAAAATTAAATCCAGGTGCATATGCTGCCTGAGCCCATGTGCTGCTTGCGCCTATGTAGCTGAGCACGTGATGCCCGAGCACATGTGTCACCTGCTTCTCCCCTCTTGAGATGTGTACTTTCATGCTTTCGTGTCTAATGCTGGGATGTGTGTAAGGGCTCTCTCCTCCCCCGGAGAAGCTCATGTTCTCTCTTGCACCTCTCTCTCTCTCTCTCTCTCTCTCTCTCTCTCTCTCACACACACACACACACACGCACGCACATACATCGTCTTTAAATAAGATCCATTTACTTAAAAAAAATTTGTTTTTATGATTGGGTTTCAGGCATACAGTATTCCAGCACTGGTATCACTCTCATCACCAGTCTGCTACTGTGCCAGGCACCGTTTTAAAATAAATTTTGGGCACTGGTTTACAGTACTATTACTGATAGATTTTCATGCATAACACTTTACCTTTTTATCTTTCAGCAAGCCACCATCCCCGCCCCCTCCTCACCCCATCCCTCCACTATTGTGCGGTCTTTTCACTGTCTTATACAGCACCTCCACCCTGCCCCGCCCAAAACTTCCAAGGACGACCAATTCCTTGATTTGATTGCCTTTGGTCATTTGTTATTCCCCTACAATGTTAACTTCATTCTCACTCCTTTGCATTTTTCATGTGTGTGAGAGACACTCTGTAGCATCAAGATGTTTACTGGGAAATATAATTCACCTGAATTCAGCTACATAAGCTGGTTACTTCTAAGTGGGGGGAGACTGGAAGTCTTCTCATAGGAAGGTCAAGTTAGAATTATCTATTTTAATTTTTTGAGGTGCAGGGAATCAAATTCAGGTCACCTGCATACAAGGCATGCACTATGCCACCGAGCCACATCCCCAGCCCAGAAAGATCAACTGTGAAGGACTGAAGTATAGAAGCCTCATGTTGGATGTACAGCTTGATATGCCTTGTGACCCAGAGAAGAATAAAACAAAAGGGGCCAGAAGATAGCTCAATAGTGAGGACACATGCCTAGCATGGACTCTCCCTGAATTTGATTGCCAGTACCACATGTCCCCCTGAACATTGCCAGGGGCAACCCTAGAGGTCCCTGGGCACTTTTTAAATAGCCAAGGTAATTCTCCACATCAGCGGGTTCCAGCAGCATTGCATCCTGGGGCACTTCCACTGAACTGCTGGCCTGGTTGGCTGGAAGTTGCAGATAGGATCCCTGGGCCTACTGAATGAAGAAGAGAGCCTCTTGGAGGAGCCCTATAAACCCCACTTCCCAGAAAGGAAAACACACACACACACACACACACACACACACACGCAACAGTAACCCAAAACACTTGTCATAAAGGAGAAGAAACTTATATCTAGTGATCAACCAGTTACTCTTCCTGATCCTTAGAGTCACATGATTTTGCCTAATCTCTTTACATCTCTGAGATGTGAGTTTTCTTATAGATTTTCCTTAGTTTAAGTTTTGGGGAAAGAGAGAACCTTTCAGTCCTAGAATCCTCCGAACTTAAAGCTGGTAGCATTACATGAAGAGACATTGAGAGTTTACTCCACCATTCTTGGCTCCATTTACAATAATGCAATACCATTTTTCTTAGAGGGAGTCCTGATGGTTTGCTGGATATTCAGTAAGGAGGTTTTCTATGTCTGTCTTTTAGCAAAAATGTATTTTTGGTTTGTTTTAGCTTTTCCCGTGTGTGTATTCCTTCCTTAGACACTGCATTGGCAACAGTAGAAATAGCACTGTAGCACTGTCCTCCCGTTGTTCATTGATTTGCTCAAGCAGGCGCCAGTAACGTCTCCATTGTGAGACTTGTTGTTACTGTTTTTGGCAAATCGAATACGCCACGGGGAGCTTGCCAGGCTCTGGCATGCGGGCGGGATACTCTCAGTAGCTTGCTGGGCTCTCCAAGAGGGACAGAGGAATTGAACCCGGGTCGGCCGCTTGCAAGGCAAACACCCTACCCACTGTGCTACCGCTCCAGCCCAACTTAAAAACTTACAAACATATCTTTTTGTCATGTCTTCATATGGGTCCTCCCAAACTTAAAGATGAGCGCTTATTATCCTGTTTCATGAGAGACCCCTCATTGCTTCTCTGCCTTCTCTCCAAGCCCTGTTCATGATGGTAGTCCCTCAGTCATGCAGGACAGACTCTGGAGCTATGAGAGAGTTCACGTTTGTAGGATCCAATCCTAGTGGAGTGAATTTTTTCTCTTCCTTCTGCATGAAGACATGTGGTAATTGCTCAGAAATGTTCTCCCTGGTGTGTCTTTACTGCTCACTCTGGTGCCTTATTTCTCACTCATGCTTCTGATTACTTACTCAGCCCTTTGAGCAAGCTGTCTTATTGCTTGCT